TGAAAAAATAATACAAAGTCTGATGAAGCAAGAAACATGAGCAGTCAGACAACTAAAAGGTTTTAAACAAAGCTGAAATGGCCACATTATTCTGGAAGAAGGCATCAAAATCTGCAGAGAGACTTTGATTTTAGATTTGGCCTCTTACTGAGCAGACTAGTGGTGAAGTATCGTGTGGGAGGTTGCAAACAAACAAAGAAAAAAACTGCAAGAAGAGGTTACCACCCTGTGAGATACACTTTTTAAACTGTAGCAGCTCCAGCACAGATGTCGCAGGTTATGAGCAAACCAAATGCAACCACTACCACAATGCACGGAGTGATCACACACAGATGGTATTCTGAAAGATCTGTAGTCAGTAAAATCTTATATGTCTATACTTGGGAGGTTTTGTAGACTACTGTACTTAATGTTACTTCAATGATGATAGTCAGGTGAGCTTAAGGAAAAATGTATAAATGCCTTTTAATGCTTTTTGCTGGATCTGTGTCAATGGTCAATTATTTTTATTGAATGCCCAAATCGAGAATGGAAAGTATTCTTTTGTCTGCATTCACTTACATATGACATACCATTCTTATTCCATAGGGTTTAATATGATGTTGGATCATCCTTTGGAGCTTCAACTTTTATGGGAAGGCTTCCCACAATGTTAAAGAGTGCATTTATAGGAATTTTTGACCATTCTTCCAGACGTGCGTTTGTCAGGTCAAATACTGATATTAGAAGAGAAGGCTTGGCTCATTCTAATTCATCCCAAGGGTGTTCTGTCGTATTGAATTCAGGACTCTGTGGCGGCCAGTCAAGTTCTTCCACACCAACCTTGCTCATTTATGTCTCTATGGACCTTGCTTTGTGCACTGGTGTGCAGTCATGTTGGAACAGGAGGGGCCATCGTTAAACTGTTCCCACAAAGTTGGGAGCATGAAATTGTCCAAAATGTGTTGGTCCAGTTTCACTGGAACTAAGAGGCAAGTCATGAAAAACAATTCCACACCATAATCCCTCTCCTAATAAACTTTACACTTGGTACAGTGGAGTCAGACGAGTACTTCTGGCCACCAACAAACCCAGGCTGACAGGTGCAGATGTGTGACTCAGAGAAGACGTCTCCACTGCTCTAGAGTCCAGTGCATCCGAAACTTTGCATTGCGCTTGGTGACGTCAGGCTTGGATGCAACTGCTCAACCATGGAAACCCATCCCATGAAGCTCTACGCGCTGTTCTTGACCTAATCAGAAGGCTATATAATCTTTGGAGGTCTGTAGTGATTGATTCTGCAGAAAGTTGCCGACCTCTGCCCACTCACTGCCTCAGCGTGCGATGACCCCGCTCTATAGCCTGCCACTTTGTGGCTGAGTTGCTGTCATTCCCAACTGCTTTCACTTTGTTATAATACAATTAACAGTTGATTGTGGAATATTTAGTAGCAAGGAGATTTTATGAGTGGACCTGCTGCACAGGACTTCACTCGTGACAGCGAGCCTAGGTACTTGACCATGGAAGGGACAGGAAAACCTGAATTCAGTGATATGGATCAGTGAGTGAATACTTTTGGCAATACAGTATATTCAAGATGGGAACAAAAACCACTTTGGTCATTATAGCTAATTACCAACTTTGTGAAAACTATAAGGTAACAGATTTTTTGTTTAAATAACAATTTAATTTAAAGTCTCTACACTGTGCATGATCTATAGTAGGTCAGCTTTGATTGGTAGGTTGGCTGCTAGCTGACTGCTAGCTGTTTGGTACCTTTAGGAACATTTTCAGTGCAGCAATCTGAGAAATAATTGCTGCATGGTTCATTATAATCTAAAAAAGTTTACAAGTGTTAGTGAAATTCTTTTACTATATTGGTACGTTATTGATGCTCATTAGCAGATTTGTATATTTGTTCAAATCAAATCAAATCAAATCACTTTTATTGTCACATCACATGTGCAGGCACACTGGCACAGCACATGCGAGTGAAATTCTTGTGTGCGAGCCCCACAAGCAACAGAGATGTGCAAACACAACAACACAAACGAGCAAAATACAAGAATGGCCAACCTGAAACTAATAAATATATGTACAATATATAATAGTGTATGCATTTCTGGATGTGTATACTAAATATTTTCCTACGTGTGTGTGTGTGTGTGTGTATGTGTGTGTGTATACACATTTTTACAAATTAAATAGTAAAAAAATAAATAAATAAATAATAATAATAATAAAATATATAAAATATACAGAGTTGAATATGTGCAAAACAAGTGGCATTTATATACAGTATGGAGTGCATAATGTTGAAGTTCCAGTAGTGAAGCTGAGGTGTCTATGACGTGTTCAGCAGTCTGATGGCCTGATGGAAAAAGCTGTCTCTCAGTCTGCTGGTACGGGACCGGATGCTGCAGAACCTCCTTCCTGATGGAAGCAGTCTGAACAGTTTATGGCTGGGGTGACTGGAGTCCTTGATGATCCTCCCCGCTTTCCTCAGGCACCGCTTCCTGTAGATGTCTTGGAGGGAGGGAAGCTCACCTCCAATTATCCGTTCAGAGCACCGCACTACTCGCTGGAGAGCTTTGCAGTTGTAGGCGGTGCTGTTGCCATACCAGGTGGTGATGCATCCAGTGAGGATGCTCTCAATGGCACAGTGATAGAAGGTCCTGAGGATGCGGGGGCTCATGCCGAATCTTTTCAGTCTCCTGAGAAAGAAGAGGCGCTGCTGCGCCTTCTTCACTGTTTTGTTTGTGTGTACTGACCACGTAAGATCCTCAGCCAGATGTACTCCAAGGAACCGGAAGCTGCTCACTCTCTCCACAGCAGCGCCGTTGATGGTGATGGGGGTGTGTACTTCTCTGCACCTCCGGAAGTCCACTATCAACTCCTTTGTCTTTGCGACGTTGAGGGTGAGATGGTTGTCTTGACACCAGTGGGTCAGGGCGCTGACCTCCTCCCTGTAAGCCGTCTCATCACCGTTGGTGATAAGACCCACCACTGTAGTGTCGTCCGCAAACTTCACAATGATGTTGGAGCTGTTAGTGGCTGTGCAGTCGTAGGTGTAGAGTGAGTACAGGAGAGGGCTCAGTACACACCCCTGTGGAGCACCAGTGTTCAGTGTTTGATACACCTCTGGGCACACCTTGCTAATAAAGCACTTCATGTTTTTGTCCAATGGGCTGCTTTAAAAAAGTGTAATCAGACAAATAAGTGAAAGCATGTGTAAGGATGTAATAAAAAAAGGAAAAACAAAGGAACAAAAAAAAAAGGCCAAGTACATTTATCATTTTAGTGAAAGTATATTCTTGCAGCAGCCACACATAGCAGCATAGTGAGAATATGTCACACATTTTTTTATATATATAAAAAAAATATAGTCAAACAAAAAGCATGTGGTAGCATATGGGAGAGAAAGAAAAGGACAACTGCAGGAATAAGCCCCAAATGTTTGGGGTTTTTCACACAGGAAGATAATAATCATCCTGAGTTACATTTAAAAATTAAACTCTTATAATAATTGAGTTTCACAAATCGTACCTATGTTACCTATGTCTGAACCTAACCTAACCAGTCCTAAACAAAAGTATCATATGGAGGAAAAAAGATCCCAACATATTCTTTTGATTTGTGTTTTGCTTTTTGTGTGAGGTGTCTACTTTTCACTTTGAGTTGTGGCATATTTCTCACTGAAACTCCCCCCCCCCCCCAAAAAGCCCGAGTGGGCTGAAGCTAACCACCATTAAACCGTATTAGATGGTCAGTGCCACCCACCTGTAGATAATCACTGGCTCCTGGGGTGGTAATCAGTGTACAGGATATCAGTGTTTTACAGCCAGGCCCTTCTCTGTCAGCTGGTGCTGTTTCATTACCACCTGCATTGTGGTGTGAACAGAAAAAATGGCATCCCTGTGACTCAGACTGATTGCTCGTGGTAACAGTCTGAATTGCCGCAGATACATGAGAGTCATCTCGTCAAACCCTTGCTTTTTCCCCCCTTCTGTCCAACACAGATGCATTCTCAAAATCTAAAAAAACCAAATAGTTATTGCTTGTTATTGCTAAAGCAGGAAGTTAAAGAAAAAATAGGGGAAAAAAAGGAAAAGAAATATGGCTCCTGATAAGATACGGACACCAACTTCAGCAACTCAAAGACTTTGGACTGAGCAACAGTCCAGTTCTTTTTCTCCTCAGCCTGGGTAAGACCCTTCTGACATCTCTGGTTCAGGTGTGGCTTGATATTAGGAATGCATCAGTTGTAGCTCCTTTCAAGAGCTCTGTGTGTCTAGCTCTTCATGCACTGACACAATCCTCAGCCCACTCCTTGTAAAGCTTCCCCAAGTTCTTGAATCAACCTTGCACGTCAGTCCTCTTAAGGCTGCAGTCATCCCTGTTGATTGTGCACCTTTTTCCATCTGCGCTTTTCGATTCCGGTCAACTTTCCATTAATATGCTTTGATACAGCATTCTGTGAACAGCCAGCCTTTTTAGCAGTGACCTTCTGCGGTGCTTTGTGGAGAGTGTTAACGACCTTCATCTGAACAACTGCAAAGTCTGCAGTCTTTCCTGTGATTGTGGTTGCATGTAGCGAATAAGACACTGTCTGAAAAGCAATATACTCAAAACACTAAATGAAATGTTCTAGTAATTTCAGATACAGGGTTTCTGATTGTCGTGAGTTATAAACCATAAAAAGCTACATTAAAACAAAAAGGCGTGAATTATTTCACTGTGTGAATTTTACCTTTTTGAATTAAATCACAGAAAATTTTGACTTTTTCACAATATTCAATTGTTTAAGATGCACTAGTGTTTATGTCTGTGAACAAAGACACAAAGACTCCATTACGAGAGGCTGAGAAGCTTCATGAAGACCTCTTATGGATTCATCTTATCCATTATGTCAAATAGAACTAAAGTTATATGTGCAAGTGTGAGCTGTGTTACGATGGTGTGAGTGTGAGAGTAAGTGTTTCTTTGTTGTCGCATCAATAACAGTTGTCATCAGTTTAATCATCATGGTTAAAATCTAAAACAGTCATCTTTGTCATTTTTACCAACATAACAATTACAATCTCCATTAAAAAAAAATATTATGGAAAAAGCATTCATCCCATCACCGCCAACATCGTGGGTTTGTCATCTTAGCCATCTTTAGCAGCAGCAGCAGCATCGAGCCATGGTTTTATAAATCAGGAGGTACATAACAAAACACTTTAGGCAGTCAGGTCAGTCACTGATAAACAAAATGAGGTATATTACACTCCACTCATTGCCACCGATTCACAACAGGATAAACTTAATTTGCATTTGCAGCAGCACATTCTGTAAAACTCAGACATACAATAAATTATCCCAATAAATTACATTTACATATATCAAAAGACTCAAAAATACTTTTCACATTGCCTTTCATCTAAATATGTCGACATGTTTTAGGTTTAGGTTTCGTTTTAGTCATCATTTATGAGAAACATTTAATGTGGGCAAGTGAGAACTTCAGGAAATCAGAATTAGAGGATAACAAAAAGGAAGCAGATTTCGAGTAATGTTGATGAACAGAAGTGAATAAGGCAATTATTGATTCCAGTAATATAGTTCTAGATATCTATATGTCTGAAAAACTTAAAACTAACATATTATAGAATTTAAGGCATCAGCTGTCTTGGAGCGTCGTACAATGCATGATATAGTCAAGACAACTGTTTCTCCTTTGTAAAATTATGAATCCTTACACCCTACATAAATAGCCTTCACTTCTTTTGTTTTCTTTTCTGCTTTTAGAAAATTAATTACATCTGCTTATATTTAGCTCACTGGGCATCATCAGTAATTTTGGCACTGCATTTTCACTCCCCATCTCACTGTCAGATGTACTGTTTAATGCATTTTGTTTCCACATGACAAAAAAAATTAAAATGTACTGTAAACGAGTAAATATAACTGGTTTTCTATTGTCTTCTATCAAAGTCTTCTATAAAATCAAATACAGTATCTTTGGATGTTTTCGTTTCGATTTAATGGACCAAACCAACAAAATAATTCTAAATTGCTTAAAACTATTTTTTTTTTATCTCTTTACCAAGAAAAAAAATGAAATAACTTAGGGTTAGTGGGACAGGTGGGTTAAAGTTAGGGTCCAACTGGTAGCCTGGTGTTGTTAGAGACTTGTTTGTTGCACGTCTCCTTTAAATAAAGTTTATAAGGTCATAATTATTTCTACTTGGTGCCTTCCACCATCATTTGCCAAAGCTTTACAAATATAAGTGGCACTGGATGATTTTCATCTGCCTTCTACTGCTTTCAGGTGATTATTTAAAAGAAAAACCTTTTTATCAGCAAAGACAACAATATGTTATATTTATAAATACAATTGAGTCCTTCTATTAGTCCTTGCATTAGTATCAGTATCTAATATCTGTGTTAGTAGCTTAGCTGCCCACTTATCTATTATCACTACTAGCTCTTTCCTGTCGCTGACTTCCTGGCAAAGTAGTTGGAAAACCTGCTGCTGGTTATCTGAGAAAGAAAAAAGACTAATAGGAATCACAGACTAGGATCATTTAGTTTTGCGGTCCAAGTTATTAATCTTAGTTTAGCTAGGATTATCATCCCTTGTTTTGAGCATATTCAGTAATTCAGACTGATTTTAATAATATTATGTGGTAAAGGTGCTCTCAACTATTACCATTGCACATTTAGTTGGCCTTAGCTGTTCAGAGATATTTCTTTTTTTACTTCACCCATTCAAACTGATTATTTCTGCATCCAGAGGTGCTTTGCTCTACTATTTTCTCGTGTCCGTGGCTGTCATCTCTATTAAATCATCTCATCTTTTTGCCAAAAGACATGTCCCGTGCATTTTCCTTCCTGTATGTGTGAAAAAGCATCGAGCAGTCTCTACAGGTCACTTGTGACTGTGAGTACAAACCCAGGCAAATACAGTTGATCATGCTTCACTTGACTTAACAACCTGAGGGCCACATGTCAGTCATGACAGCAAAGGCAGTCGGTTTGAAGGTTTTTTCTTTCTGCTAAAACTCTGCTTGGACAGATCAGTAAGTCCTTAAAATGGGTGCTAAAGCATGAACGATGCCAGTACACATAAAACAAAATATATTTACATCCGGTGCTAATACAACCAGATAATGTATTGAAAAATAAAAAATACCCAAAGAATTTGCTTAATTCGGACTGGGCTATACCTGAGCCATCCTGTGCAGTGTGCACAGTCTGCTGTATGTTTTCATCTACAATACAATTTGGGAACTTGTTCTTCTACTTTGTCAAGTTTTGGTTAGACTAGTCTTCAGTGCTACATACAGAATTAATGTATAAATTACTGCAAACACTTTGCACAGACTAAAACAGACATACAGCCCACCCTCCCCCCTTTTTTGTAAGATAAAATGAATATTACAGTTATGTCAAAACAAACAGACACACTGCAAAATCTGTATATAATAAACTGTATCTCATATCTGACTGTAAGCTACCCTAAAATAATAAAACTTTTAGGTGGCCATTCATCCTGGGTAAGCACATCTGTCTCTCCAGGTGGACATGGAATCTGCTGCTCTTTGTTGTCCTCACAGCAAGTTCACTGCACTGATTTGCTGTTCTGGGCACTCGGTATGAAAGCGCAGTGGTATTCCTGTACAGGGAGTTGACCTTGTCTGTTCTGTTTTCTTTCCTTTTTTTGTAGACCAAATTCAAGCAGACATGGACAGGAACTACCAAAATTTATTCCACTTCTTCATCGACACTAAACTAGGTTCTTTTTTCCCTGACAGTTGTCGGGTTAACCTTCCCATCGGGGCAATGCCGGTCACTCCACGGTGGGTATGCTGTTCACCTGGCTCTCGTGCTGGTGTCCGGACGCGTTCAAGGAGCTGCGCTTCAGCAGCTTGTTGATGATGTCAGTGCATGTCTTCTTGTACTGGTGTCGGAGGAGGGAGTACACAAATGGGTCGCAAGCTGCCTTGCTGTAAGCTAAGCACTTGGAGACAATTCCCCAGTGAGGGTTGATAGGCACCGCTGGAAATAACTCCACGATCCTGCAGGGAAGCATAAACAGAGGGTGGTGAGAGAGAGCGTGGTAGAAAGGCAAGTCAACATGCTGGAAAAGACATGCATGCCTTAAGCTTATTGAGCAGAAACTGAAATACATTTGCAACACAGTGTTCTATTTTTCCCCCATAGTAAGCAGGGAGTTACTTACGAAAATGTTCTGCTTCTTTATAAATACAGGAATCCCATTAAACACATATTTGTATAAAGTTATTTTTCTCATCTACCCACAAGAAAAAAAGTAGGTAGCTGTCAAAGGACAGTACAAGATTTCCCCGCCTTTCTGTCGTGAATGTGGATTTACAGTGTGGGGCTATATTAGATTTCATTTCTAATTTGCAGTCAGCAATATTTAAAGCCAGAAAAGACAAAAGAAGAGTAAAACAGATAAGCAGTAATGAGTGTCTGTGAACAAAGTTTGATTGTAACTGACAACCACATTAGACTGAAGACTGAGCAGAAAATGTCAGACAGTGAATTCTTCCAGTCTGGTAAAAAACAAAAAAACACCATCTCATTAGTGTATAATATAATATAAATATTTAATTTAAAGCAGCTCTTAATAAGCTTTACAGTCTTGTGAGGTCTGCATCTCAAAGCAGTCCGTGGCACTCCCAACTTGTTTTTGCTTTTAGACACATTTGTGTGAAGTGTAAGTTATTAAACCATCATAAAGCTGTATAAAACCGCTGATTGTCTACACTTGCACTCTGTATGATTAGGCCATCCAAAATAGAGCTCTGTCAGCGTATTACCACAGGCCTTACATGGGCTACTAGCCATCCCTGTCATTTGTTCACACACACTCCACAGAACGAGTGAATGTTGGTCACAGCGCCACACAAATGCAAAGGTGTTTTCTCACACGAGTTAACACAGAAGAAGCTAGAACTCCACAAAGCAGAGGATCAGGGGAAATCGGAAAATTTAACATGAAATGAATACCCCAAACCGAACCTCTTGGAAACTGGTTGAAGATGCAGCTAGTAGGTTTCATCCCATTATGTAGAAGTAAAGACGTTAGGGAAATGGTAGGCATTGGTCCAAAGCAATTTTAAACAGAGTCCATTTTTCAAAATCTCTGTTTATCGTACACAGATACACAGTTAGCACAAGAGCTTTCAGCACATATTATCTCATAATGTAAGATTACATAGGCTACTGTAATTATATTTACAGTTAAATTGTTAGGAGGGCAAAACTGCTTTTCCAGGAGAAAGGAAATTCTCCAGAACTTATGGCTTAGGTGATATGACAAAGTAATTTGAGGTCATACCTACTTTTGCAGCTAAGCTTTGTTATCCACTGAAAACACAATAAATTGGGAGCACTTGTTGTTCACATAGAAGAACAGGTTACTGCCAAAGCCTACTGTATTTAACTCAGATCACGTCTACTTCAATTTTTTTATACTGTGAGTTTTATTTACAGTAAGTTACTGGCATCCAGCTGCCATGTAGTTGCTGTAGATTTTACAGCAACCCCTTTACAGTGCAGCAGGTCTATGCATAAAGATTCTTTTGTCAAATCTCTTAATCTAAAGCTGAAATTCTGCACTTCAATCACAACAATCTTGATTGTTTGATTTAAATTCTGTTGTGGTGGTGGGTTCTCATTGTCCAAATGCTTGTGGGTCTGACTGTATTAAAGTAAATGTCTCACATGACAGCAACCCGATGACTTATGTGTCTCACTCACTACAGGCCTTATTTGGTATCCTGTCTTTGTTTAGTGATTGATGTGAGTGGATTCTACCTGACAAACTGATATGCACCCCGCGAACTCGAAGAGAAAAAGTGCTAATGCAGCAGCAGCAACAGCAGAACAGAGGCATATTACTTATCACAAGGTCAGCCAATCTCATCTTCCAGCTCTGGCCAGTGTGAGGAGGAAGCGGAGGGGAGAGAGAAAGGAAGCAGGAGGGGAGGGATATGGGTATCTGTGACTGGAGTGCAAGGAGGTATCCAAGGGTTGCATACTCTGCATGGTGGTCCAGCATGGATTCCCTCTGGTCACCCAGTCTCTCTACTACTCACCTCGTGATCACATAGGGAGCGAAGCAGAGCATGAAGGTGCCGATAAAGGTGCTGATCTTCCTTGTCGCTCTCTGTCGTCGCCTCTTCTGCTCCTCCAGACAACGCTGACGGACACTACAAGCACGAACACATAAAGAGGGATGCCCACAAAGTGGGTTAATATGAGACAACAGGGAGTGGGTGTCATGTAGGGGTAAAGCATGGGGAGATCCAGTATAGGGTGAGTTCAGGTAAATCAACTGGGTCAAATTAAAGGCTCAAAGTGGGGATCTCCCTTTTAAGAATTCCAGTTTAATCATTTTCTCTGTGCCTGTATGGTTTTGTGTGATACCTGAGTGCACCACAGCTGTGATGCCATGGTGACACATTGCTTTGGAGATTTTTTTTTTTTATGAAATAGAGGTCATCTGTGTGAGTAATAACAGGATTTATAATCTGCAGTAGGCTATTCAACCACACACACACACACACACACTCAGAGATTGTATAGTATTTCCATGGGAGCTATTCTGCACAGAGACAGAATAAAGCAATCACCCCAGATGACATTTCAGTTATATTAGATTTTGAGCGAGGACTCAATTCACATGTAAGATTCGCTGTTTTAGATAGGAGAATAAAAGAGGCTAAACCCTTCCTTTTAACTAATTTTTAAATACTTTTCAAGCTCTACAAATATAAAGGTACCAGATTGCTATACCATATAACGTTATAGTTGCAGGATTGATAACTTAAAGTAGCTCACCTGGGGTGTATATCCACTAGAAGCACCAAAGTTTGCATTGTAATAACGTCGATCCTCTTACAGTGAAACCTTGCTACTTTAAGTACTTTGAGGTATGTGACACATAATACTATGAAAGATAGAAGAAAGGTGAAAGAGTGGAAAAAGATGGTGAAGACGACAAACTGTGTCCGATTGCTCGCTCTGGGGTTGGACAGGGTGCAGGATGCGTAAAGCCGGTGGTATCCAACCCAGGAGAGACAGGCGGCCACCGTGGAGAAGGACATGGAGTGCGCCCACGTGTACGCGAGCACAAAAGCCGCGTCTTTGTGGCGCATTTTGGAGTGGTACCTCAGGGGGAACACCACCGCGATCCACCTGTCGATGCTCAGAGCTGCCATGCTCAGCATCGAGTTCGTGGACAGGAAAGTCTCCAAGAAGCCCACGATCTGGCAGAAGCCATCTCCCCCCGGTTGAGCTTTACTGACAAGTCCTACCAAAGTGAGCGGCATGTTGGAGACGGTGAGCAACAAGTTGCAGAAGGTGAGGTTGAGGTTGAACAGACCGGGGACTTGCTTGCGGATCTCCGGGTTATACAAAAAGCAAATCAGCACCAGGACGTTGGACAGCAGCGACACTATAATAATCACAACCACCAGCACCGAGAGAATTACCTCCGCAGTGTCCATCCTGTGGACACCCGAAACTCACTTCTCTCCAGTTTTTCTGCGCATATCCAGTCTTTATTTTGCAGCTGCAAAATTACACTAATCACCCGTAACCGTGTCCATGCATCCCCGGATCTCTTCACCGGTGGAGATTCCCTTTTCTTTCAACTACATTGTTTCTTCTTCGGCAAAGATATTCAGGAGGATTCCGACATGATAGAAAACCTATGTTTGTTAGTTTTTTAACGGACTAACTTCCTTCTTTCTCCCCACTCTAATCTACAGAAAACAAGCTCTCTTGCCAAAGCTGCTCTCTTCTGGCACTGCGTCTTGCAGTGGGGTTTTGTGTCCTGTGATGCGCTCCCGAGGCATCACCCCTCCGCACACATTGCACAGTGTGTGGGCTACTTGATCTCTCTCCTCTCTCCTCTTCTGGGTAAAAGTAAGAGGAAAAAAAGAGCATTAGTTACAGCTAAAATGAGAACTTATTAAGCTCATTTAACGGAAAATGGCAGATATGGTCAAAATAAGCGTGCTTGTTTTGTTTGTTTGTTTTTTTCAAAATTAAAAAAATATTATTATTTTGGACTATTGTAAATGTTAAACTCGCAAAACGGCTTTTTTCCATTTTAAACTCTCCTTCAGGACTTTTGTAAAAAGGGAGTTGGAATTATCTTGACAATAAATACAAGATAGACAGCATAATCAAGGTGAAAGAAGAATATAAATACTACACTAAAGAGCATATAAGGTACACAATTAAGAGGCACGAATCTGACTTTTCACCAAATCACCTAAAATCCTTAAACCTGTCAAACTCATTAATAAAACAGAGATTAACATGAGTTCTCGTGCCTGATTCTGATCTCATTCTTCCAAATCACGATTGCCAGCAGTACTGCTTCTTCATCTTTACTAATTAAGTCTGCATCATCACATTGATAAAGAGCAAAATCCTCTATTTCCCTGAAAGCTGGATAACACCCCCACACTCTGCTGCCCCTCTGGACTTCAGTGTGGGGAGAATTTTTCCTCTGAAGCGTGGGATTCAGCGGAGTGTGCTGTGGCACGTGAGCCACTGAAGGCGCTGGAGCAGTGTGTGTGAGGTGGTGGTTGTGGTTTTCAGAAGGGGAGGGGGACGGGAGGTAGTGTGTGGGTGGAAGGAGTTATTGTTACCGTGCACACACACATACGTGATATTTGAGTGTGAGGATGTAATAAATGCAGTCTACCGTGTCCTCTTTCTTTGGCTAAACGTGAACAGAAACAGGAGGAAAAGAGGAGGATTTGTGTTGAAAGTGAGCCTCATTAAAGTCGTATACTATGAGGTAGTGGAGTATAGGGGTGGTGTTTGTTCTTGATGCAAAGAGAAGGTGGCTGCAGGGGTGGACAACCCTGGCAGCTGCTGTGTATGATTAGGCAGAAATGGAGCTCCATCTTGGACCCCATGAGGCTTTGGCTGTGATGGATGCATTATCAGCATGTTGTACATGTGATGGGACAATCAGCTTTTGCAGGAGCGGACACTTGCATACTGTCACGCAACTGCTTCTGCGGCTTTTATCTCGTCACTTAAAGGGACTTATCAGCACAGAGCCACCAGTTGATCTCAGGCACAAGTGCATCTTTTTGTATGCATCATTTTAATTATTCTTTTCATAATTAAATGTCAGGTCCAGAGACAATAATGTCTCTAAGGAAAGTGCTCTAAAAATATGGCTTAGAAGGGACAGAGGGACATGGATGAATAATATCCACAGACAAGGGGATACTATTCTTTAAAATGCAGATTTTTTTTATTAGGATTTACTATTTAGAACATTCACATTTCTCCACAGCACTACACCACATTAGACAAATATGCCAAGGAAAACCTTTTAATTTTAATACCACCTTACAGAAGGCTTGTTTTCAGAGAGCACTGTGTCTTTACAGATCCAAATATGGCCTGGTTCAAGGAAACATGGGTTCTGATACCTCCTGGCATCCCGTGAGATTACCCAGAATAAAAACACTGTACACAGCTCCTGTTGTGTCAATTAAATAATGCCTAGTTCCCACAAATCTTATCGACTGTGGTTTATTAAGAATTACACAAACTAACATTATGGAGGTCATTTTCTGACTCATCAAACAATGCTAAAGAATGACACATAATTCAATATGTTGTCTCAAGTTTGTGTCTACCCACAACCAACATTATATTTGTGTAATGCAACAAAAAGTACTGATCATTCAAAATGGTCCAGTCCCATGTGCAAAAACACCAAATCTACACATCTTTACACAAACATTGAAGGGTCTTGATTTCTGGGCTTAATTGGACTTATTTCCTTTGGGATAAGTTCTCATTTTTGTTGACTAATACCCTAACTTGATTAATAATAAAATTTAGGTTTAGGGCTTCAAGATGTACACATTGACTGGTCACTTCATTGGGTACACCTTCTTCAACTCCTTGTTAATGCAAATATTTAATCAGCCAGTCACATGGCAGCAACTTAATGTATTCAGGCATGTAGATACGGTCAAGATGACCTGCTGTCCAAGTTCAAGTCAAGCATTAGAATGAGGAAGAAAGGTGTTTTAAGACTCTTTCAGTGTGGCATGGTTGTTAGTATTGGTGGAGTATTTGAGAAACTGTTCATCTACTGGGATCTTAATGCAAAACCATCTCACATAAAATGAACACATTGAACCTTGAACCAGATTGGCTAGAGCAACAGAAGAATATAGCATGTGCCAATTCTGTCAGCTAAGAACAGGCTACAACTCACACTCACCAAAACTGAACAACAGATGATTTCAAAATCATGACCCGATGAGGTGTTTTGATTTATGCAGTGACATTTTATTCAGGTAAAGGCTGGTTGTGGTGTAATGGTGTGGGAGATATTTTCTTGGCACCTAACTGTTGAATCAAAGCCACAAACAATTGAAGCAGTTCTGAAGGCAAAAGTAGGCTCAAAACAGTTTTAGCACGGTATCCCTAATAAAGTGCTAACTGAGTGTATAAACGCTCTTTGTCAACATACCCCACTCATTCTTCGGGACATTGATAGGGACCATAAGTTCCAAAATAAAATACGTGCTTTACTAAGTAAAACTTGAAATTAGCAATTAAGGCTTCATCAGGAAACTTTTTACTGAAGGCATGGATCAGGCGTCAATAAGAGGCTTCTATCCAGCTGCATCTAGGAGAATTTACCCCCTGCTGAGTATTGCAAAGAGTGCAGCTCTAAGACATTTCCAAACAGACTTCACTTTTAAGACCTGGAAGGTTTCTGATACAGTCTAAGATCATTTGAACAAAAACAACAATCAAGAATAAACACTATCATGATCTCTACAGATAATTAAACAATCAAATTCATCTATAACATTTCTTTCTACATACCTAAATGCACTAATTTGCTACTAATTTGAGCAAGTGAGCAGGTGTACCTAACAAATTGGCCAGCCAGTGTATTTCTCCCAGTAAGTGAGTCTTTGCTTGGTGGCACAAGACCTGGACCAAACCAACCAACTATATTATTTATTTCTATTATCGACTGGAACAAGAACAAATAGGATTCATCTTCAGGTCATTCATCCTTTTTTCTGTTAAATGAATTTCACGAACATTTTGTCAGGAGATGGAGAGAGTGTATATCCATCACTTTACAAAAAGGCACAAAAAGGAACAATTACACTTAATAGACAGTGATAAGGCACCTAGAGTCAGCTGAAATGTCAGGAGGAGGTTTGGGGACACACACTGCACTATATGAATTATTATTATTATTGAGAATATTGATATGTTCTTAATTTTTTTTAATATTACAGCTTTTGTAATTACTAATCTATCACAGTGCCCCATAGTGTGTAACTTAGGGGTTTTATTACTTAAAATCTCTGTTTTGTAAGGGAATCCTTCGGGTTTACTGTGGCTGAGAAAAAATCTCAAGTCTGCAGATCTTCACTTTGAAGATAATACCTCTTGTCAAAAGATTTAACAAGTGCAGGACTTGACTGTGAGAGACAGTAGGTTGAGAGAGAGCCTGCGGCACTCCTCCTTTATGCTGTGACAGTGTGAATTTGAATTTGCTGCCAGTTCCAATTCCACCCTTGACTTCCCTCTGATTGGCAGGCTGGTATATATTTAAAACCTACAGTTGATATAGGCTGTGCTTTAGCTTCTTGGTTTTCCTGACTCATGTGAATATAGACATGTCACTTATATTTCCAACCTTCCCAAGAAAAATAATGCAGGATTTCTGAGCCGAGAAGAAGTTGTGCTGCAAATATGACAACTGGAAAACTTGTAAAAGTAAGACTTGAGTTATGTAACTCAGAAGAGTACATGCAAGCTGTAGAACAGCAGCCTTATGGCTCATAAAGGTCTCACGGTGAAGACGGTAGGGATGCTCACTCATACAAGAAGCTTTATATAAACATCGTGAAGTGCCACTTTGCAAGTAAGGAGAAAAGGAAGGTGTTTACACAGCTAGCTATAACGCTGAGAGAGGCCAGTTTCCTGTCACTTCTGACTTAGTCATCACCAATGCAACCACTCTGATATCTAATAAAGCTTGTACATATGTTAAAACACAAAGCAGTTACCTGAAGCAGCAGAGAATTACTGAGTGAAGCTGGTAGAGTTTCTGAAACCTATTACTGGCATTACTACCTTGAAGCAGATATTACTGGTTCTCAAAGTGGAGTCCCAAAACCCCCAGAGATGTGCAACACATACTGTAGGCGAGAGCTCCACATAATAATTTGTTGCAAATGACTAAATTCTGGCGTATAAAAAAGTAAAAAGTGCATTTACACAGGTAAAGGACATTTACACCAATAAAAGGTAAATTTGTTTTCATAACTTGGCCCCATTGTACTTCATGATGATGTATGGAGAGTCAGGTGAGTACCAAAGTCAGTGTGAGTCGTTGTCTAGTAACCATAAAGTGAGTACTGATTAGAAATAGAAATATACAAGTATGGCATTGATTATCCAATGTACTGGAAACACTCCTCAGAGACTTTGGTCCATATTGACATAGCATCACACAGCTGCTGCAGATTTGCTGCCCATCCATCCCAAAGGTGCTTTACTGGATTGAAATTGGTGAGTGTGGAAACTATTTAATGAGTCATGTTCAAGAAAATTTCTTGAAATGATCTGAGCTTTAGGACATTCTTTGTGTTATTATCGAGTTTTTCTAAGGAGCCAAACTGTGCTAGGAAAGTTTTCCCACAAGCCTGAACAACTGAGACTCGATGCTTTCATGTTGTTTGTGACAAATCAAACACTCATAAGCCCAGGCAATGTTTTTCCAAACTTCAGTTTCTTGCTCTTAGCTGATAAAAGTTGCACCTGGTGTGGTCTTCT